ATTGGGAACCATCAGCAATAAATAAACAAAGATACTGTGCTCTTTTGCCTGAATCATAACATATGCATTCTGGAATATACATCAAGAAAAATTCTTAGATGGCTCATTAATTTCCTGATCCATTTCTGCATGCACTGCTGATACTAAGGTGACCTTTCACAAATCAAGCTATACATACAGCAGAGAGCTGTCCCTTCTTTCTACTGGAGAAATTTCATTTTTAGGGAAACATTACTAACTGAAGAAATAAGCTTTCAGCTGCTTTCATGTCTTAGACTCAATAAAGGATAGGATAGGGTATTTATCCCATGAGTGAACACCCTGAAGCAGTTATACGTGGTTGGCTTAAAGGAGATCTTAGAATCTCTATTTGACAGACTGGCCACTTTCCAAATGAGAAATCAATGACTCTGTATTCTGGATAAAGAAAAGCCAGGATGGTTTATGACTTGTTCTACATATACTGCGAATCCAGCCAAGCTCTGAATTACACACAGATGAAGACAGTAAGACAGCAACATCCCATGTCCAGTGAGTACATTCTGGCAGGACTCTGTACAGACAGTAGCTTGCTAGATTTTGGAATTCAGCCTGTAGGAAGACAAATATATGTAGCGGGGACAAGGGAAGAGAACAATAGGGGGGTTCTGTGCCTAGGACAGCCAGATAATTAAATGCAGGCTGGTTTGGTTTCAGGCAAAGAAACTTGTAGAAAATATGCAATGGGTAAAAGTTAATTCTGCCTACAGGACTAGCTCATATCTATATACCTGTCGTATTCTGAACAAACAAAAAAATCTATTTAGCTGTCAAAAGCAAAGCTTATTTACTCAATTATTGGTAAAAAAAATCACAAAAAAAACCAAACACAAAAATCCAAAACCGAACCTCCCAAATAAACCAAAAAAAGCCCACTGTGGAGGCTTCACAGTATTTGGTATGTCATTGCTTCAGTCACACAGAGGCAGACAGAAAGGGCCCTGTATTCTGAGGGATTGATTATGATGCTCAAATAGAAAAAAGAACAAACAAAAAAAAGAGAGGTTAACAAAATGTTAAATTACAACAAAAAACTCAAGCAATCAGACAAAACTTAGTAATGTTTTTTCCCAGCATTTTGTCCTGCTGTTTACAGCAACATGAAATTATTTACCTCTATTACTCAGTCTCTTAAGAAAGACAAGTTTAAAAAAAAAAAGAAAAACAAAAAACAATGAAGCAAAACAAAACCACAAAAAATCCAACCTTTTACATTCTTCAGATTTTTTCCTCCACTTGTATACTCAAGGAGTGTTTTGATCTTTCACATTGGGCTGGCAGTCTTTGAGAACTTATAACCTCATTTATAATGCTTTTGATGAACTCACACCAGTGTACTAAACCAAGCTATCCTTTATTCAGCACTGTTCCTATGAGCAAATAACAGCCTGTAGAGATTCAGCACATCAGCTGCTTAAAAGATAAACCTACCCAGCTTGATGAAAACTTCACCACCTTCCTGTTGAGAGAAAATGGTTACACATTTCTAATAAATGGAGCAGGAACTGTCATTTTTTTGGCGAACTGATAACTAGCTGTAACAGCCGCATTGCCACAAGTTGCTTTTCCAAAGTAATTACTATCAGGCTCCCTGTGGTATGCAGTGTTTAACACATTTCTTCTGTGTTAATGAATGCAAAAGCAGGCAACACCACTATTAGTAATTGCTTTTTATTTGTAGTCCTCATTTTCCAGATAGGTCACATTAAACACAGCCATTAAACAATAGCGGTTGAGATAATCCATACAATGTATGCTGCTTTTGTTTGGTTTTTGTGTCATTCACCAGTCATTGGTGCAACTTTGAGCCATATGGGGAGACAGGGGCTGATAAATGCAAATGCCAACCTGTATAACAATTGGGCCAGAGAAGTCAAAACCTTAATCAAGTTTCATTCAATTACACTTCAAATCAACAAATCTTGATAGCCAAAACTCCCATTTGCATTAATGCAATAATAATCACTGCCTAATGTCAAAAGAAAGTAATTAAACAGTAATGAATGGGCATATATTATGCTAGACTTCAGACTCCTTCTTGACCTCAGCAATTTCCCTTCCATTGGACAGCAAGCAGCTTGAAAGTTTGTCTGAATGATGCAACCTGCTCTACGATGAGCAATATTTGACTTCTAGGTGTAACTTGGACTGGGAAACCTATATTCTCAAGTGGCAAATCACAGTTCAGGAGAATCTATTTCCGATAAATATACCCTGGAAAAAACGGAAAAGGGGGAAAAAAAAATAAAAGAAAATGAAGTTGTGATTTTATGTCCTGTTTTGATTGGCCAGTTGTTTAAGGAACTCCCAGTTGCTTTCATGAATAAAAAAAGATAGATTTTCTTATTCACTATTCACAGTGTACAGTACAATTTTAGTGGTTACTTATCTTGCCTCCCTTAACTCAATCATTCTCTTCATAATTATGTGGCAGATATTTTCTTTTAGTCTTATAAAACATATACATAAGGAATGAAGGGAATAACTCATATCTTTCATTGTTCCCTCTTTCTCCAGTGGTGATAGCAGAGATACCATGGAGAAAAAAATACCTTCTTTTGTGTGTAGTACTTCCTTCACACACAATCATGGTAATTTTGACTAAACTACCAAAACTCATATTGTATAAGCTCTGCTGGTTTATTCATTTGTTAAGCATCCATTTTAGATTGTGAAACAGAATTTTTAACCTGGGATATTCTTATTGGAAGCAGTATGCTAGAGATCTACAACACAAGGCAGTTGTCAGCCAAATTAAATAAAAGCAAGATTTCCTAAACTCTTCTATAAAGCTATGAGTCATGAATTCTGAATTACCTCAGAGTGGTAAATAAATAATCGCTACTAAATACAGATAACATGTTAAACAACTAAAGCTAGTAAATCACTAGTGACAGAGAGCCTTAAGGTAAATTCCTCTTACATTGGCACAGCCCTTTCTCAGAATGTTGTGGTTTTATGTCTTCAGAAACATACAATGAATTGTACAATTGGTTACTCAATGTTAAAATCATTTATAAAATACACAAATCTCCATCACTTGACTGCATTTACATACTGGCTTAGATTTTGCTGAATAATGGATCTCACTGGCAGAGCTAAAGACTTGGTGCACAGACACTGAAGTGATAGGCACCACAGAAATACATAAAAGAGGCTGATCAAACAATAAGAAATCCTCTCCACTATGGAATTTCAAGCTATCAAGCTATCAAGCAAAACCAATCTTGGGTCTCCTGGCCTAAAAGAAAACAAAAAAATTATATAACACAGACAACACCACATTTTAGATACATAAATTGTCCAAAACATGGAGAGTAACTTGATAAAACATGTACAAGATCCTTTTTTTTTAACAGGAGGAGCTAAAAGCAAACTGTCAGAATGGTTGTCTCTCAAATACAATTCATTGTAGGACTGACTAGCTAAAATCACCATTTAACAGCAATCCCAACATCAAAACAGGGCATTGGGTTTACTTAGTTATTTACTCAAACTGATGAAAACTATGGCTTTGTGGGATTCGAGATATCCAACCTCTTTTATATATGTTTATATAGTAGAGATTAAATTTAATAAACAAAATACATCATTTTTAAACAATGCACCATAGTGGTACTTACAACAGAGTACCTGAAGTATCCAAGGGACACATCCTGAGCTAAATATTTTATTCTTCTGCTTCTTCTTGTTCTGTGCAAGTTCATTATGAATTGGGGTTTTTTTTAACTTTCATCTGAAGACAATTTTGAATTTTTCGAATTCAATAAAGACATCCTTAGAAGAATAATTTAAAAACATAGAAACTATATCCCTAGTTGTTCTGGAAATATTTTTAAGAACAAATGAAAGCCAAAGTAAAAGCAAGCCCCCCAAATAAACAGTGTATATCTAGAACTGCAGTAAGAAATTGCACATTCTCAAGAATCAAATAAAATACTGCCCATACCATATTGGCACTGACGTTTTTCAGCTCTATGAACATTATAGCAAACCTTTGAAAATGGTGGCAACTCTTAAGAAGCAATCAAATATCCTACATTAAACAGGCTGGCTTCATGTGTTTGGAAGATAAACAAGGAGGTTTCAGGTGTTGGTTCTAGTGTAATTTTTGTTATTAAACACAGGTTTGCAATAGAAGCTTCTACAAGGACTTGCACATAACCATGACTGATAGATGCATTTGTAGGCCGTTCAGTTAGCTCCATCAGCTCACTCAAACACATTTTGAACAGATTATGTACTGCAGTACTTCGTAGACCATACATTAGACAAGAGACTTTGCTCTGAGGCGCTGCTTCCCACAATCCATGGGGAAAAGGAAGCAGGAAAAAACAAAACTCATAGAGTTCGACAGCTACCAAGGCAACACTTGCCATTTACAATATAAGCCCAAATATTTTTGCAACACAACTATATATTAATTTAATAAAATACACAATATAGCTCTTATACACTCAACAATTTGGCTCATATGCACTGAATCTGCAATAAATCAATAAAAATATGTCATTTGATGTAAACACACTGAATCTTCTTACATTTGCACATTTAAATGATCATGTGAGTTGTGTGGATGTCTAAGACATTTTCACTTTCCTGAGCTATTTTAGTGTCCACAAATGAATAAAAAAGTGTTAATAATGTTAATTCCTTTTGTATATTACCCTTAAAGGTAAATATTATTTTAAACCTTATTTTACTTCATTTTTTTTAAAACTTACAACTAAATATTTATAGTTTTGTTGGACACTAAAAAGCTAAATAGATATTAAAATCTTTTTTTCTTTTTTTATCAAGTGAATTAGCTTATGTGTGTGCAGGACAAGATGGACTATATCATTTTACATTTAACCTTAATACGATATGAAGTGTTTTACTAATGATCAGGATATGTTTTGTTGAATAATGATCTGGAATGGGGTTTTTTTTGTTGTTTTCTTGTTCTTTTTTTTTCATATTTGTGGCAGGTAACTTTGTACATACGTGTTTACCACAAATGAATGTTAATGTTTGGTGTCGCTAGGACTACTACAAGAACTCATTTTAGGACTTTTAGTAGAAGCCTGCGGAGACTGCTGGAAATCCACCACAGATTAGAATTATTCAACCCTGTTTTTCTTGGGGTTTATACGTAAACAGTAAAGTCAGCATCAGCTATTGAGGACAGTCTTAAAGTATCAGACATATTTCCATTCCACCTTTCTCACATCTTCCTATCAGATTGTCAAAATGGCACCGTCTTTCCTTCTTTCCTTTTGTTCTTAGTGTACTTGATTCTGTCCTAATGAAAGTTTGGTCAAAATGAAACCAGTGTTATTTGTCAAAAAGAAAGAGCAGTGAAAAGAACATACTTGTGGGCACTTCAGATGTTCACTAAAAGCCTTAAAGCAGCATTGGTCTTCCTTCATTCCTGTAAATCTGTTACGACCAGGGGATTTATTTATTTACTTTTAATCAGTAGAAGAGGAACGTAACTGCCAGCCTGTCCTTATTTTCCCCCTCACTTTCTGACGGCCACAGGGTCACTTCCCCGACAGTCCTGCAAGAGCTTGTCTATTTCTCTCACAACTTCCTCAGCATCCACCGATTCCCTGCCTAGATCCCGGGCTGAACGGTCTAACTGTTCCAGAACAGAGTCCATCTCACTCGAGTCTCGGCTCACTCGGGAATGCACATCTGCAAAGGCCCTAGCCATCTGATCTGATGCAATGAAGGGAACGTCTTTTGACTGTTTATTAGGCGATAGATACTGACTGTCAGTTGACAAGTACTGGCTGCTTGGTTCAGCCAATGCTCCTGATTTCACTTCACAACCATCCAGTGGTCCTTTTGTTGAGGTGCAAGGCTCAATGCATGTCTTGGTTGGGCTGCTCGATGCTGAGGGAACCTCCTGAAGCAGAGGACTCAGGGCACGTTTGGCTTTTAAGTAAGGTTTAACATTGGCAATGAGAATAGTGTGCTCTCTCTTGTCTTTCCCAAATGTACAAAAAGTCTTTTTCCCAGTGGGATTCACAGTTTCGTATGTCTCAGTCTCAACATTAGCTTCAACTGCGGGTACAAAGAGATTTGTGCGATAATCTGCATTCTCAGCCTGACTGGCTGCAGGGAACTGTGGCATCCAACACCTGTCAGAATGACCAAGCACTCTGCATTCATCTGTGCAGTTAACACATTCTTCTTGCTCTGTAAAACAAAGGAGAAAGAGAAGAAACTCTAATTATAAGTGGATTTCTTTGAACTAATTTATAAGCTATGATCAACACATGATGGGGTTACTTGACTTCTGGTTTCTTAATTATGGAGAAAAAGAAGAAGCTATAAATAAAATATTTCAAAAGAATTGCATAAACCTGCTAGTTGAGACAATAGATTTATTTAACTCTGTTCTCTAGGTATTAAAGCATTCACACAGGCCAATGGAAGTGTAAAGGGGTCATCTGTAAACTAATCTGCTGTAGAAATCTTAGGCTTTGTTCTGTAAAAGTCATCGTAGAAAAGACTGAACAGTACTTAAGGAACTCAAAAGGCATTATCAGGATTAATTTTTCAAATCAAATAACTGAGCAATGACTGTCTTTCTGGAAATACAAACACTTCATAAAAATCAGCAAGCTGGCTTTTCATCTTTGTCACCTCCATTTCGTTTATAATTGTTATGTTGTGTGACAGTCACAAAATAAAAAGGTTTTCTTAAAAAGCCTACTTTCCCTGCTGATAACAGAGAACTAGAATTTTCCATCAGTATGCATTAAATAAAAGCTTGTCAAAAATTGCATACTGCAATTTTATTAGACATGAGTATGGATCATGCAATCAGTTTTCTCCTTTTTTGTTTTGGTGCAAGTAAGTCAAAATGGATTTGCTCAATACATACAATTTGGAAGAATGACAAATCGGGACGTATTATTTGAATTGATAATGTTTTCAGATAGAATTTCTATATTCTTACTTCTTTCAAAGAGTATAGTTAAATGAGATTTTTTATTCACTAAATTTTTTAGAACATGAATTTTGACAATTCCTGATCTACAATTCTAAGACATAAAGAAAACTTGCTGATTTAAAAACCTTAGCTTGTCTGTCATATTACACTAATAGAATGTGTTTGGGCCAGCATTTACTATTTTATAATTGTACATTTGAGAATAACTAAATGTCAAGGATAGGGAAAATTCCAGAAATAACCCTATCTCAACTGATGAGTTCTTTACTTTTACTCTCCCGATTCTCTTCCCCATCCCACTGGGGAGTGGGGGCCCAGTTGAGCAAGTGAACTGCATATGTTTAATGTTTGTTGGGTTAAAACACAACAGTCACAATGATCAGTTAAATTGGGGTGAGATATTTTACTCAGAACTGCTAACTTGTTAATCTTACAGTTCTGAGAAAAAGTGTCATTCTGTATACATGCTCCCTTCCTTGAAGATTTTAAAATCTAAGACTGGTGTAAGCACTGGAAACGTATAAGCAACAATGATGTGCAGGGAGAGGAGAACACAGAATGATTTTTGAGTAAAAGAATGTAGCAGAAAGGCTTTAAATACAAAATTCATAGACGTGAGTCAGCCTCACCTCTGTGTCTGGTTAGATCATGGAACAGCTTTTTCTGGAAGATATATTTAAACATATGATAAGGACGTGGCTAGAGACAGACAACATGGCTTTGCCAAGGGTAGATTGTGTCTGATTAATGCAGTGGCCTTCTACACTTCTACACTTCTTCCCTAGTGGACAAGGGAAGAGCTACAGATATCACCTACCTACACTTTTGTAAGGTCTTTGATATTGTCCCTCACAATATTATTGCTGTTAAATTGGAGAGCTGTGGGTTTGATGGATGGACAGCTAGATGGATAAGTAGTTGGCTGGATGACTGCATCCAAAGAGTTGCAGTCAGTGGTGCAATGTCCAAGTGGAAATCAGTAATAAGTAGTGTCCCCCAAGGGACATTGGGACCAGTATTATTTAATTTCTGCATCAATGACTTAAACAATGGGATTGAGTACACCCTCAACAAGTTTTCAGATGACATCGAGCTGAGCAGTACAGTTGATTCACTAAAATAAATGGATGCCATCCACAGGGGCCTTGACAGGCTTGAGGAATGAGCTCATGTGAACCTCAGGAAGTTCAACATGGCCAAGTGCAAGGTCCTGCATCTGAGCTGGGGAATTCACCAGTATCAGTACAGACTAGGGGATGAATGGATTGAGAGCAGCCCTGTGGAGGACTTGAGGATACTGGTGGATGAAAAAATGGGTATGAGTCAGTAATGTGTGCTCGTAGACCAGAAAACCAATTGCATCCTGGGCTGCATAAACTGAAAGAGATTAGATTAGATTGTCCATGAGGAAGAAACTCTTTAATATGAGGTTGATAAAACACTGGAACAGGTTTCCCAGAGAAGTTGTGAATGACTCATCACTGGAAGATTTCAAAGTCAGGTTGGACAGGGCTTTGAGCAATCTGATCTAGTTAAATATATTCCTGCCCACAGCAGTAGGAGTTGGACTAGATGATCTTTCAAGGTCCCTTCCAACTCAAACCATTCTTTGATTCTAAGGAAAGTAAGATGCATGCTGGGCTTAGTGTACAATAAAAAATAGAATCAGCATAATGAAAAGCAAGAGTAAAAGACAACTTCAACCCTGGGACTGTAACACAGTGACAGAACTGGGTAGAGTTTTTCAAAGAGATTTAAGTTTGTGATGTTCAATTTTACTTCACTTCAATGAGACAACATTGATATGCATAACCTTAGACACAACACATGTGGTGACAATAGTTTAATGAAAAGTGAGCCATGCAAATAAAGGCCATTGCTGTACACCTCATTCCACCTATTAGTTCACCTCCACTAAAGCTCTCTGTCTCCAGTTTTTCTGAGCTTCTACAGCATCAAACAGCCACTGCTTAAAACAGACAAATGATGCTCTCTCTCAATAAAGGAAAACATAAAACTTGACAAACCAAATCAAATAAAAATATTTTAAAAGCCACGTGGGGTAAGATCATTGGAGAGGAAGGTTCCAAGCTTTCATGGGATGAGCAATAGTTAATACTGGCCAGGTTTGAATATGTTTTATTACAGAAATCCAACAGAAATAAACAAACAAAAAATGCCCCAAGCACAACCCTTTCAATTTTAATTCTAGAACTTTAGATTTTGCAAATGCTTGCTAATAATTATTTTTGGATTTTTTTTCCCCCTTCCTCCAAATCTTCTTGCCAATCTGTGGCAAGACCATCCTCGAGCTTTAAAAGTGAACTTATACAACAAGGAGAAACAAAAAGTGTTTTGTTTAAGATTTTGTCTAACCATATGTAAAATTGTATTTCTTTTACATGGAATTCATGACAATGCTGAGTAAAAGTTTTCTGGCACTTTTAAAGGTTTCCCTGAGCAATTAATCAGCTTTCCAATTAATTGTTTTGTTTTGTAATCTTAGCTATCCTTTGTGTGAATTTTCGTAAACAATTTTGGTCCCTTTTTAATAAAAGATGAAACTAACAACATGATGCATGTTAGCTACCATAAAATGATCAGAACTGCACAATCAATGGACTAACACCTCTCTCTGCTGCTGTCTCTCTTTTCAATTATTTCATCAAAGCAGGACTCCTCTTTGCTCCTTTATTTCGGTGAATAACAAACAAACAAACAAACAAACAAACAGGTAGCACTTCCTGTAAAACTTTCTAACCATATTTAATGTATCAAGAGCTCATAGTGTACTGGGAGATCAACAGTGAACAGAACTGGGAAGATTTCAGTACATTACAGCCTATTTCATTGAACTGCACAAAGACAATTTGTATAAGGGAAACTCTTCCTGCCTTTCAGGTAGTAGTTCTGTATCAAACTATCTTCAAATACATTAAATAAATGTTCAGATATTTATGTATGATTGTCTGCTATCTACATTGACAACATATATATATATAT